ACTGATAGAACAAGCTTGTGTTATTTAAAAATGTGTTTCTTAAGATATTATATACAAAACCTCCCATAGACTAATACCCTTGAACAAAGTTAGGTATTTTGCTTTATATTTTAACATTTTAACAAAGTTGGGAAACAATTTCCTCAAAGATTTCTTGACATATTAGATAAAAATGCAAATAAAGGGGAATAATCTCTTAAAGGAGATATCTAATAACTTTAGTCCCATCATATCAAAGCATTACATCTCAAAATTAGTAGACCTGAGTTCCAATAATTATTGCTGAGAACTTTCTTACATTTTTATTTATTTTTGCCTGTAAATTGAGGGTATTGTACAAAAAATGCTATTTAAGACAGAACTAAAAATCCAGACAAACAGAAAGGCAGTTATTCAGCACCAGGAAATAATATAGATCCTGAGTATAACAAGCCAGACAAAGGAAGTTAACACGAACATGACTGCGGTTTACTCTTTAAGAGAGGCTAACCAACTAGTAAACTAAAAAGACACATGGCATCCAAGATAGGAAAACATTAAAGTTAGCAGAGGCTGAAGGAGACAGAGACTGAATCTCCTGGACAAGCTAAGCCTCCAGGTTGCAGACCTTGGCCCTACTACTGAGGTTGCTTTGGCTGAAAGAATACACCTATTACTGAGTGTGGAGTCGATGCTTTTTAAAGCATTCCTGTATGAAGTCCAGTATTAGTGTTTGGGATTAGGAGAGCATGGCCTAAGAGATGGGACATGGGACTCAGTAGGAAGTTGACAACAGCAGCTGAGGAACCAGGAACCCAAATAGTGCTGTGATTTTCAAGATATTAAGTCTGTCACTGAAAAAAACCAACAGAAGAATAAAGATTTCATTTGCACTTTTATGGAACCAGAAAATATAGACCTAGACAGACTGTATGGCTCTCAGCCCAGAAACTTCACTGTAAATCATTTGGAAAATTGTTTGTCAACAGAAAATTAAAATGCCTTTAATGGTAGTTGCTTAAATGTCGTCTCTCGTTTTCACCACAGCCTCCTTTCCTAGGGAGAAAATTTCAAATTTGTCATTATTATCCTCTCTTAGAAGTGGCTCGGGGCAGTTGTTGTATGAAACATAAACCAAAACACAACAATCAACTTCCAAGTGGGATGCCTGTGTTGTCTATGGGAGCAGCATGTAAACCACAAAGGGAGGGGTGTGGCAGCAAATTTGTCAGGTCGCCAATAAAAGACAATGTCTGAATTCCCATAACTAGATCTGCCTTTAGAATATTTTATGTTTTCCAAATCAGACTCAGGTTTCCTGGAATGGTGAACACTAACACCCTAAGCAGCAAAGTCTTAATCAGTATGACTTTGAAATTTGTAACTGAAAAACAATCAGGTTGCCCTGTTGAGGTTAAGAACATGATTATGTGATAACATTGCTCATTTCACACAGGGAAAATCCCAGGGCAGTTAGGGGTCTTATTAAGTCATTTCTATTTTTAAATTGTTTATTTAGATTCCATTTTTTCTGAACTTGGATTATGTGTTGTCGCTGTATAAGTCAGTTAATCTGTGTGTCTCTCTGCCAGGCTTTCAACACAATGTAGTGTCATGGAAAGAACATTAATTATGTCTCATTTTCACTGTTTACTTGCAGAGAGCAACTGAGTCAGGCATTTAAATTTTGGGGGGCAGCTCTTTCTGCCCACTTACATCTATACAGGTGTCCTTTATTCTCATATCCCTTTTCCTAATAAGACTGCTCCTTAAATATAAAAAATCAGTCAATCAATCAATCAATTTTGTGAGGTTGCGTCCAATCTGTAAGGATAATCATATCCTCTTCACTGTCTCGTCATGAGGACTAATCCAAGAGCATCTCTAACAAGGCCTGACACTCCCCAAATGTTAGTCTCTATTCTTGATCTATGACTAGCCCCAATCTGCCTACTAACCACAATTCCTAGTCACTTAAACCTGCACTTTCACTCTACAATGGCAAATCTCCATAATGTTCCTGCTTTGCTAATTCATATTCTGGCCATGGGTTATGTTATTGTGGCCTCATCCTCTACCTAATTTCTACTCTGCTTTCAGGTAGGCAGTGTAGGCAGGCAATGCCTACACTTAAGCATGAACAAAATGGAAATGAATCATATTATTTTATTTTACTCAGACTTCTAATATATTTTCTTGGTTATGCATTTGCGTAGACATTTGTTCCTTAACTATGGGTATCATGTAGAATGTATAAAATAGACTAACTGAAGTTCATCTATGTAACATTTACCTTTTTTTTTTTTTTTTTTTTTGTGGGACCCTCTCCGACGGCCGGGGAACGAACTGGCGCTGCAGAGGCAGCCTCGCAGCCCAGCACTCAATCGCTGCGCCACCAGGGGAGGCCCACATTTACTTTCAATTCTACAAAAATTTATTGCTTGCCTCCTATGCAGAGGATATAGGGTTGAGAAAATTCACTAGAAAATTCACTAGTGAATTATTCCCTTAGGAAGAAATTTGAGTGATTCTGCATTATTGTATTAAGGTTGTTTCAATGAAATATCTTGTATCTTTTTATCTTGTAAAATTCATGCCATAATCAGATTTTTGTCTATATTTTCTGAATAGTAAAATGAGACTTTGTAGTCAGTGCTTTGAATGCTATGACATTTGTGACTTTTAAACAAGATGCTGTAATTTTCTATATAGGCTATTTGAAATTTATACTGAGTCAAAAATGGAAGTTTGTTTTTTGATTTTCCAACGGACTATGACCCAGCAATTATTTCATTAGAAGTTAAACAAAGGGCTTAGCGGTAACATGATGTAGTCAGTACACATTCTCAAGAGGTGAGTTGCATTATGAGTCAAATGAAAAATGTGTTTAAGTGCTAGATATACAAGTTAATCCATGTGATTTTTTTTTGCCTTCAGTCAGTGGATAGTAAATTTGCTTAACTTTGAGTGTATTTTGTCAGTTTGTTCTCATAGTACATATTTGAACTCAAAGCTACTGGAGACATACCCTTTCCTCTCCTAGAAATTCTCCTTGTGTACCATTAACATGTCTGTCTGATAGACTAAGCCTTATTTCTTATGTTCACTAAGAAGATCTTATTTTAAGAATATAAAAAGAAGGAATGACATAGTTCCTGGCAATGTTTAATGTGGTAGAGAATTTTTATTGATTTCTTCTGGGTAGAAGAGGCACATTTTCTCCTTGTATTAGAGAAACTTACTTTGGAGTGATGGTCTTCTATCCTTCAAGTTGCCCATCTATCTGAGAACCTGCTGAGATTGATTACAAATCACGAGTTGAACTTGGGTTTTCCCAAGCTGGCAGCAGAGACAACTTGTCTAGGCTCCCAGTGAACAGCCACAGGCCACAGAGAATATGTGTTTATCCAAACCTTTTCCATGGTTTACTTCTGAAAATTGGTTCAACCACATGGGAATCTAGTTAGACCCTTGGAATTATAATCTTTGACTGGCACATAACCCAAAGATTTTTCATAGGATTTGGAAATCAGATTGGAGCTTAAAAATGTAGGACGAATGCAGAGTTCAAATTTGAACCTCTTTTAGGTACACCTGAAATCCACCTTTTAAAGCATGGGTTCCCATCCTAAACTGTCAATTTTTACAACATGTAACAGCAGGAAGAATTTTAGTGAGACACAGTGAAAGATAAATTTCACTGCTCACATGGAATGTGAAGTTATGTGAATATTTCCCTCATGCAAGATCCCTTATTATACTAGATATAGTCCACCTAGCTACTTAGGAAGATAGATTTTTGTAACCTAAGGTTGATTTTATAATATTCACCCAGGTGTATTATTTCATCCAGGAATCAAGATCAGGACTGTGGTTGGTAAATTGAAATATAAAAACTTTATGTTCATCAATAAACTCTCTTTAGGAATCTTCAAGCTATACATCTGATTTCTGAGTGCAAGGAGGGAATAATTAAGATTGATGCTTTATTTGAAAATGTATTGTTTTCTTGTTAAGAATAAACCACAGTTACTAATAGAAAGAAAAAGCCTACCCGTAGTGGAAAGCTAGGGGAAAAAAAAAGAAACTTGCTATGCAATGAAGAACTTGCCTTTGCTAGTTCTAACATTCAGTAGCTGAAAGCAGATCATTGCCATAAAGAAGTATTTACCAATTTTAAAAGGTCTTGGCCCATCATAGCTAGTGTTAGATTTGGAATATAGCTTTTGTTGCCAAGGTGACAAACACTTATAAATATAACACATCTTCTAATGTGCTTTTAACTTGGTATTTTTATGGCTTTTAAATCAGATACCATTAGCAAATATATTAGGTAATTTAGCTGAAAGACCATTTTCCTTTAACACTTTTTGTTACATTTCCCCAGGTATTTCAGTAAATGTCTGTTGTGACATTCTACTCCTGCTAGGCTTCCAACGTAAAGGGATACATAAAGTACATCTGGTAAAGATTAACATATATTACCTTGCCTTTTTTGTATTGATCATTGGAAAATGTATAAAAGAGAGTTAAATTTGTAGTCTCCTTGAACAGCAATCATTGTTCCTATTGTTATTTGGGGGGTCTGCCCCTCCTCCACTCAAATAACAATCTGACTTTAAGATTCAATACACAGAGGAAAGGGCTTGGGGACAGCATAATAACTATATTAACACTCTTCCCAAATCTTCACACCTAAATGCTTTCTCTTAAATATAAAAAAAAAGGCTACAGGGAAAATAATTATTACAGGCCATCTGAAGTCTTAGTATTTCTGTGAGACTAAGTTTATCATTCCAAACAATAAACCCTATAGCCCAAGCAGAAAAGGAATTAGTTCTAAATGATTCACTGAATTTTTAAAAGAAAGCTGGTGAAGTGGACATATTTGTCACAGCAAACATGCAATCAAATGAGACATATTTAGTTTAAGTCCAAATTTGCATTGATTGTTACCTTGTCAGAAATCCCTCTTAGACAGTTGTTCATTCATTCATTCAATTTTCTTTCATTCATTCAAGCAACAGACTTTTAAGAAGCATTAACCATGTTCCAAGCATTGGAGGTAGAGACAAGCAAGTTCCAGCCCTCAAGAAGAATTTACCAGGGAAATGGAGGTAAATACATGCAGTACTAGGTACTAAGGTAGAGAACTCACACAAAGGGGTCAGCCCAGAGAGGAAAGACTCTTTTGCAAATTACTTTTTAGAGAATCAAAATGGAAAAGAAGAATACATATTTTATTTAAACAGCAAAACTCTTGACAGTTTAAGTTTTATATAGGAAATCCAGAATTGCTATTTTCTTACTCTGTGATACCAAATGCTTCTGTGCCTCAGTTACTCCTGTGTAATGTAGATAATTATCCTTGCCACCCGCATAGCTCACAGAAGACTGTTGATAGGAATAATGGAATACGGGTGGTGAAGCTATTTGAATTCTTTGGAAAGGAAAGATGCTGTGTAAACACCAGCATCCTTATTATTCCAAGCGGTAGCATTTTGGATAATTACCGTATAATGCTGCACCTTTGTGTATGTGTATGTGGTTTGTTTCTTTATAGAAAGGTAAGTGCTAATGTTGAGTTTCTCTAATAACTTTGGAAACAATTTTAATCCAGCAGACAAAATATAATAATCTTTAGAGTAAGTTAAATCCCTTTGTATTTGAGTAGATTTTGTTATTTACCAAGGTCTTAGGCAATTTTACCACAATTATGAAAAGCAGTGCCCAGCAGGCCAAACTCTCTGAGAGAATCTGAAAGGCACTATTGCAGACAGTCCAGAGCTTTTTTGCAACAGACACAGCCTTGAGTGTGTGTGTGTGTGTGTAATGTGTGTGCCTGAGCCTGGGGCTTGCCAGAAAGAGCTGGGAACGAGCTGAGACTGGCTAGCATACCTGAAGCAGCTGTTACACCTTGGCGCCTGGATTCTTCTCTCAGACTCCAGGCTGACTCCCCTCCTCCTCCTCCTCCTCCTCCTGCTCTTTGTCCTCCACCACCACATCCTCCGCTTCTCTAATTTTGTCTCTTTCTTCCTTTTCTTTGTGACTTGGTGGGAGATTCCCACGGCCTGAGACCGTGCCCTAGTCCTACTCCTAAGCATGCTGGGACTGTCTGGCTGGGGGAAGAACCCACAGTGCCCAGGGCATGAAGACTCAGAGGAAAACGACCCCCAGTACTCATATCTGTTTCATCTTTCCTTTCACCCATTCTGTGAACTCCTCGGCAACCAGGGAAAGTGACAGTTCAAGGCAGATCTGCTCTTGGGTACTGAAACTTGCTTCAGGCTGTCTCAACAAGACATTGTCTATCAACTTCACCTGGGATTTGCCAAGGCAGTCTAGCCATTCATTAATAAAAGAGGCAGTCTTTATTAAGGGGCCTCTATTAATCCCTCCTATCCCCTAAGAAGTAATGCTGCTCAGAAACTTCCCTCAGGAGATGCTAACGTGAAGTGAGGTTTCACAATAAATAGCTGAATAGCTGAAAGGACTTAAGAAATTTATAAGAAACCTTACTTCTCAGTCTAATCTGGCCTTTCATGGTTTGAGATAGTTTTTTATAGACTTCAACTGGAGTCAAATAGAACCAACATAGCCAACCAAAGTGAATTTTCCTAGGGAAAAAACTGCCATACTAGTAAACCAGTATGGGAAAGGCAAAGAACCCTAACCCCCTAGAGCCCCCTCAAAGCCCTTGACAAGGGTGAAAGGTATATATCACCAATGGAAAGGCCAACAATATTAATCCTAAGAGATGGTCTCTAGTTACATTTCATGGGCTTAGGACCCACTGACAGAAAAGAGAAATTACTTATCGTCATATTTGTTAAAAATTTGACAAAGATCCCAATCATAGTGGATTAGGTACATTTAATATCTCAATTAATAAGCCTTCTACAATAGTAACATGTCAACTTTGGTTCAAGAAATCCACTCCAGTTGATAGTCATCCAGGAAATGTCTTTCATGCCCACATATTAAATTTAATCTGCCACCCCTGTTTTATAAGACTTTGTATTCATCTGCTGAAGAAAGGATGCTTATTTTATCATTCCAACTTAACAGCTTGCTTAGCAAAGTTGATAGGTAGGAGTTTAGAAGATATTCATTGAATGCCTATTTTATATATTTACAAAAGAAGTAGACTTAAGGGAGTTACCCAAAAGCAATATGTTTTTTGTCCCACCGTTATCCTATTGGTCTTCCTTTCATGCAGCAGATTTATCTGTCATGAAGAATTTAAGTTTCATATTTTCCTCTGTCAGTTGTGAAAAGGCCTGTCAGCTGAGGCTTACACTACAGTTTGCCAAAAGGCCTATAGCACACAATGACAATACAATCTTATATTTGTGCTCCCAGTCTTCAGATAATCCCCCACTTTCCTTCTCTGTAGCCCAGTTATGATCAGGCTTAAGTTGCATATTCTGTTTTTAGCCAGATTTTGCTGATAAATGCTATCAGCAAGACTGAAATGAAATACAGCAGGTTTAGCTCTTATTACCAGTATAGAACATGCCTTGGAAGTTTTGTATATGATACTGAGACTGTAGCTGTATGAAGACCATTTAATTTGCAGAAACTAAATAAAGGAATGTTAATGGTATTGGCTTTTATCTGTTGCATATTTCAAGGTCTTTATTCATAAACCTGAAGATACAGACCTTTGATTAGCATTCTAGATGTGCCAAAGATACAGAGCCATTCCCCACATTGTTTCCGGTGGGGATGTAATTTTGAGAGAAAACTGTGCAGTCTTAACATTATTTGTTGATACCATCAAACACAAGGCACTTTGTTTGGGCCATTTTTCTTCTGCGTTCACAAATACCCCTAATCTAAGAAAGATTTATATTTCCCACATCAGTACAGAGACTACCACATTCTCGTTAAGTGGTAAATCATGTAAATAGTTGGAGAGTTGCAAGCCATTCTTTTTATAAGCTGCTGGGTCTCCAGCAAAATGCATAAGATTGGGCCATTAGAAAAATACTTCACTGTCTCAGCCAAGGAGAGGGAAGGGTTAATCATCATTCCTAGAACTCTGCCATGGAACAAAAGCTTGCAGCCTGACACCAAAATAACATCACAATGAGAAGTGAAATTGCTTCTAAGGCTAAATTGCTTCATTTGAAAATTGTAGTGATACTGAGAACAATTATGTCACTTAAACTTTCACAATTTTGTTTTTATAAATCAGTTATAAAACTATCATGTGGTTTAAATGCAATTATTTAATAAGGGCATTTGTAATTGTCCAACATAATCAATTATGCTTCAATCAGATTTTTCCCTGGCTGTATTTTTATTAGTGACTGAGTCATTCTTATGGTAATACATACTTTTTGGAAAAGCCAAATAAAATAATTGTTTTCCAGAAAAGTTAGTTCCTCCTTTCTGATTGCAAAGCATTTCCCCAAAGTGCTCCTGCCACTGCAAAATGAGTCTCAGAATTCCTATTCATTCCCCTGTGTTAGACTAAATGTCTCCTCAAAGCAGAAGGAAAACACACTGCCTGCCTCTTCTTGAACTCTGTACCCACTGGCTTGTCCTGAAGGCCACTCGTGGAAGCTGGGCTCTCATCCTCACTCTCTTTCCCTCATCCTTTTTCTCTTCAGTGGTCAGTCTCCCCATTACAAGAATTCCTCTTTTACACTTTTTATTTCTCTAAAAATTCTCACCACTTCATGGAATATACCCAATTTCCTTCTCTCTCTGCTGTGCATCCTACCTAAGAGCAGATACAGCTACTTGCAAGATTTTCTTCATTTAAGATCTCTCTTCCAGAGAATGACTGAATCCTGCCAGTGACAACAAGTTGTCTAGCTTTGGTCACAGGGATCGATCGTAGCAAAGGCTTCACCATACTACAGTCAGTGAATTTGTTGTTTGCAAAGCCAAATCTGACAGTGTCACGTTCAGGCTTAAAACCATGGTGTTGTTCCCTTAGGGTAAAAGCCAGAAAGTTCTGTGTGTTCTGGCACACCTAATTATTGAATTTTTCTCCCACCTTCTTTGTTCCAGTTACACAGGCTTTCTCTTTATATTGATCACTTTCTCTTCCAGTCCAAGGCTTGTAGTGCTGCTGTTCCCTCGGATTATGTTTTCCTACCCCCACCTCAGCCCTAAGTTCATATTCTTGACCAGGCTATTCTTACTCATTCCTTTTTGCTTCTCTCAGAACAAGCATCACTACTTCAGGAATACCAACATAGATACCCTGAACCAAACAGGTTACCCCGTTTTATACTTACAGGATGATGAACTTTCATCAAATTATTTATTATACTTGTAATATTATATGAATTTTCACTGTTGATTATTATCTCATTCTATTGACTGACCCCCTCCTTGAGACCAGGGACTCTGTTTTTGCTTTTCCTGTCATATCTGTACTCAGTAGTCACTCAGTTTATCTCCGCTGAATAAGAGAACTCTTGGGGTTCAAAGAAATTCTGTACCAAAAAGTAAAGGGGGGCCTCCCCTGTGGCGCAGCGGGTTGAACGCAGAGCTGTGAAACTGTCAGCAGCCTCTGCAGCATGGGCTTGATTCCTGGATGGCCAGGGAGATACCCACATGGTGCAGGAGACCTCTCCTGTCTGGCCCGCTGCTCCCCTCAGCAGTGTTTTCAGTGCATCTGCCTGTTCTGCTCCCTGCTCTGTCTATGGTGAATCCTCTCACCCTCCGGTGCCTCTGGCCTGTACCCCAGCTCTTGTATAAATAAAAATAAAAATCTTTAAAAAAAAAAGTAAAGGAAGCAAATTTCCTAAACCTGGGGCAAGCAGCAAGGTTATAAGAGTACCCTCACATGTGTCCACAGAGAAATACCCGCACGCATATACACACACACACACACACACACACACACACACTGACAAATTGAAAACAGCCTAAACATCAGTGAAAGAATGGAGAAATAAATTGTATTGTATTCATAAAACATAATACTTTGCAGCAATTAAAATTAATGAATTAGGGCCATATGTGTCCTTCTGGCTATGTCCGCAAAACACATGCATAAAGAAAATGTCATAATGTAAAATACATGTTTGTTAATTTGTCTAGAGTACACAAAAGAATATTCAAAAACAACAGCAGTCATAATACAAGTTACACA